CTGTTTCTTGGGGATTGGCTTATATCACCAGAACGCTTCTTACTAACGCCCTTGTCACTTTGCCCTCACATTTTTGTGGGTAACACAGCAGAATTTGCAAAAAGAGTACTGTAACTCTCACAGAAAGCGCAATGATCACGTGATGCCGGCATGGAGACTCTTTCAGTGCTAACATTGCACATGCTCACCGCAAAGCCTGTGAAACAGTCATGTGAGGTTGACACCAACTCAACAGAAGCGCATTATAGCCAATACAAATTCACATCTTAGAAACATCATTCCCCTATTCATCTGTCACGTTATAGCCAATTTGCGTTGCTGGAACATGCGTTATAGCAGAACCCCCTATAACAGCATTCCTGCTCTTTTCAACGCAACCATATTAGATGCTTTGCTCTATCCTTTCAAACATTGTTTGCACACGATGTGCAAGGAAAGTATTAGCCAGCCTGTCCTGAAGTCTCCTAATGTAATACAGTAGTTATTGATTTTTCTTTCTACTGTTGGAATGAACAGAGACTTGCATTTATATGGCACCATTTCTGACCTCAGTCAGTGCAAAATGCTCTACAGCTCTATTCAGTAGTTTTGGAGTGTACTCACTGTTGTATCAAGGGAAACATAACAGCCAATTCACAACCAACAAACTCTCAAACAGCAGTATGATGATGCCTAGATAGTCTTTCTGCAATGTTTTTAGACAGTTAGCATTGGCTAGGGTCAATAGAAATTGGGATAAGAGGAGTAATGCACATGTTCTTCCTTGAAGTATTGCCAGATCTTTTATATCCATGAGAGGACAAACAGTGCCTCAGTTTAGCATCTCATGCAAAAAGTGACACCACTGACAGTGCAGCATTCCTTTAGCACCATACTGGAGCTTCAACCTTTTTTTGATATTTGTGCTTCTATCCTAGTGTGGAACTTGGACCCACAACCTTCTGACTCAGAAGCAAGAATACTACCAACATTTGTGCAAGACATGCCAGAGTTCAATAAGGAAATATGAGTCAATTCAACTTGGCTATGGAGCACCATTGGACAGTCACAGGATGAAGTAATTAGACTGTTTTTGGTGATTTTAATCAGAGATGAATGGAGGTCAACAGGCTGGCAAAACCTTACTATTCATTCTTAAGCGTTACCATTGCAGCAAAGGATCTCAGTTTAATTTTTCAACAGAAAAGGTCACCTCCAGTGATAGAGCACTCTCTCAGTACTATATTGAAACGTCAGCCAAGATGATGTGCGCAAATCCTTGAATGGGGCTTGAACCTTCAAACTTCTGACTCAGAGATAGAAGAGTTCTCACTGACCCAAGTTGCTAACTGCAGCTGTCACATTATGTGCGACATGCCAGAGTCAAACCTAGTCCTGTCATTATGGACTGCAGTTGCTTGTGGGGATCACTATACACCACTCAATGGTTGCCATCCTAATTTCTTTTTTTTCTAAATTCAACTGCAGTGCACCTATGACCAATCTTGACAACGTCAATAACTGAAAACAGCTTGGAGACTTAACCTAGCACCTTTCTGTCTGTACAGCTCAGCTACATATTGCCTTTACCTGATGAGTCATTCAGAAACCCTTTAGTGCAGGTCTGTTTAATAATATAACAGTGTACAAGAACAAAATGCCAAGTTCTCAATATTCAGAAGAGAATGGTAACTAAGAGTGACCACATAGCTATCAGTTACTGAGAGCTATTATGACTTGTTTCATGCTGTCTGGTTCCTAGATTCTTCAACAGTGTTTTGGTCATAAACGGCACATCATTGTATGTTCTGCATGCAATGCACGTTGAACAGGACAGAGTGACGGATTACATAACGAGAATCTTCCAGTTTCAGCCCACCTAATGTCAGTTCACTGCCTCAATCAAAAACAGTTGCAGTGATTCAAGCACATTACAGGTGTCACTGAGCCATCTGTCCTCCATCCTCACTGTCAATGTAACTGATCAAAAAAAAACATAGAAAATTACAAAGATGGTCACTCAATCCATTGTGCCTGTACCAACTAATCAGTGGAACTATCCAATCAATCACAAATGCCTTCTCTTTCCCCAGACCCAGCAAAAGTTTTCCCTTCCAAGAATTTTATCCAATTCTCTTTTGAAAGTTATTACAGAACCTGCTTCCATCATCATTTTAGGGCAATGTATTCCAGATTAAGACATATCACAACGTATTAGGTTAATCTCATTTATGCTATCAGAACCACCTGTAATTTTGACACTTCTATCAATACTTCCATAACCCAAATCTGTCCTAAGGGCAGCAGCCACAACTTCTTCAAAGTCTCGAAATATCTGAAATCCCTCACCTCAGTACTATTACAGCAAATCCCTACTGCACCTTGTCCAGATCGTGCACTTCCTTTCTAAAGTGTGATTGCCAGAATTAAACATGACACTCTGGCTCAGGCCCATCTGTGTTTTATTAAGGTTTAACATAATTTCCTTTCTTTAATACAATGTTCCTTTGTAAATAATCCAGGGGGTCCTTTGCTTCTCATTATTCATCCAACCAAATATCTTCATATTTGGCGGTGTTTAATTGTATTTGCCTCATGTCCGTCTACATCCTCCTGAGGTCAGGTACCATTCTCCTCAAAGTTTACAAAGTTTTTGAGCTTCATTTAGTATCCAAACTCTGAAAATGTGTTTTGATTTTGCTAATTTGTCTATTACGTGGTACCGTGTCAAACACATTTTGAAAATCCATATACACACATCAAACAGGTTACCTTAATCAGAGTACTACAGCAGGGTTGCTCAATTCAAGCTGTACAAATGCAATTGGCCTTTAACACATCGTGATTGTCTTTATTAGCTTAAGCATTTGTTGTAGCTAAGCCCATCCTGTCCAGTTTTTGAGCATGTGGGTAGCATATACAATCTGCTCGCACTCTATCACCATCTGGAAATCAAAGGCAAATTTGAAGACTGTGGTCAGGGATTACTTAATTTTCACCATTACCTGCCGTAGCAACCGAGCATGTATCCCACCCAGACTCAGTGACCTTTCTACTTTGAAGACTGCCACTCCTTTAAAATAAAAAATGAACGAGAGGTACCTATCTCATTATCACTAATCCTTCCATCAACAGTTCTATATATTGCATCAGTTTTCACTGGAGAAAACTAAACCGTTGAGGTACCATTTAGTGTCCGAGCATTCCCATGTGCCTACACGAAATGATCTCCTTTATGGCTCCTAATGGACCTCATCCTTCTTCTATTTGTGTGTATACAAAGAGATTTTTGGGGGGGCATTTTGTGCTAGCTGTTAATCTATTCTTGTTTGGTTTTCCTACCCCCACGATGCACTTGTTTTAAGATCTCCCCTATAATTACTATATTCAGATTGTCTTTGCCTTTTTCTATTGTATTATCATCCTAACAATTGTCATATGCCTAGGTTTTGAGCCTCATTTCAACATTAGTTATCCAGTTCTACCTTTGGGTGCCCCTCCCACATCTACTCATTCCCTCCAATAGGAATATGTCTATGTTGTTTCCTCATTGAAGGAAATGCATTGTGGAATTAAAGTTTTGACACCCAATTTTTCATACTAATCAGTCTGTGTCAGGTTCTTTTACAATTCACCGCAGTTAACTAGAGGAGAGCTTAGTATTTATATGTTTGATTGCACCTTGTCTTTTTTAATAATTATCTTAAACCTGATATTATGGTCATTGCTCCCAAGATGCTCTCCCCTTGCCCATTTCATTCCTCAATTTGGTCCAGCATTTTCTTTCTTCTTTCCTTCGAGAATAAAGGATAGATACAGCAAGTTGTGTGAACCTTGGATTACCAGGGTTGTTATGACCTTCGTCTAAAAGAAAAAGGAAGCATATGTACGGTCTAGGAGGATGGGAACTGATGAAGGCCTTGAAATATATAAGGAAAGTAGGAAAGAACTTAAACAAGGAATTAGAAGGGCAAAAAGGGGCCATGAAAAGTTATTAGCAAACAGGATTTTGAAGAATCTCGAGGCTTCTTATACATACATACAAAGCAAGAGGGTAGCCAGAGAAAGGGTTGGCGTGCTCAAGGACAAAGGAGGGAATGTATGCGTGGACCCAGACGAGGTACTTGAGGTCTTAAATGAATACATTGTATTGGTATTCACCAAAGAGAAGGAATTGGTGGAGGATGATCTCAGAGAAGGGAGTGTCAAATTTCTAAGCCAAGTTGCTATTGAAAAGGAAGAGGTGTTGTGCATCTTAAAAAGTATTAAGGTAGGTAAGTCTCTGGATCCTGATGGGATCTATCCTAGAATTTTCAGGGACGCTAGAGAAAAAATTGCTGGAGTATTAATAGACAACTTTGTATCCAATTTGGCCACAAGTGAGGTCCCAGAGGACTGGAGAATAACAATGTCCTATTATTTAAAAAGGGTAACAGGGATAATCCAGAAAATTACAGGCCTGTGAGCCGCACGTCAGTAGTAGAGGAATGATTGGAAAATATTCTCAGGGGCAAGACCTATAAGCATTTAGAAGGAAATGGACTGATTAGGAATAAACAGTATGGTTTTGTTTGGGGGAGGTCATGCCTCACTAAATTGATCGAGTTTTTTGAGGTGGTGATGAAGATGATTGATGACTGAAAAGAGGTTGATGTTGTCTACATGGACTTCAGTAAAGCCTTTGACAAGGTCCCTCATGGCAGACTGGTACAAAACATGAAGTCACATGGTATCAGGGGTGAGCTGGCAAGATGGATACAGAACTGGCTTAGTCATAGGATGGTAGCAGCAGAAGAATGCATTTCAGCTTGGAGGGCTGAGACTAGTGGTGTTGCATAGGGACCAGTGTTGGGACCTCTGCTGTTCGTGATCTACATAAATGATTTGGAGGAAAATGTAGCTGGCCCAATTAGTAAATTGCGGATGATATATAGATTGGTGGAGTAGCAGATAGTGAGGTGATTTGTCAGAGGATACAGCAGGATATAGATTAGTTGGAGGCATGGACAGAAAAATGGCAGATGGAGCTTAATCTGGACAAACATGAGGTAATGCATTTTGGAAGATTAAGTACAGGTGTAAATTATATCGTGAACAGCAGAACTCTTAGGAGTATTGATATGCAGAGAGATCTGGGTGTGCAGGTCCACAGATCACTGAATGGGGCAGCACAGATTGATAAGGTAGTAAAAAAAGGCCTATGGCATGCTTGCCTTCATTGGAAGGGGCATTGAGTATAAAGATAGGCAAGTTATGTTGAAGCTTTATAGAACTTTAGTTAGGCCACTCTTGGAAATATGGAGTACAGTTCTGGTCACCACATTACCAGAAGGATGTGAATGCTTTGGAGAGGGTAAAGAAAAGGTTTACCAGGATGTTGCCTGGTGTGGGGGATTTTAGCTATGAAGAAAGGTTAGATACACTAGGCTTGTTTTCACTGGAATGCAGGAGGTTGAGGGGTGAGTTAATAGAAATTTAAAAGATTGTGAATAGCATAGATAGAATGGAAAGTATCAGGGTTTTTTCTAGGTGGAGGGGTCAATTACTAGCGGATACACGTTCAAGGTGCAGCGGGGGTGGAGTTTGAGAGACGCGTGAGGGTTGTTTTTCACACAAAGGATGGTGATTGCCTGGAACGCGCTGCCAGAGGAGGTGGTTGAAGCAGATACAATAGCAGCTTTCAAGTAGCACCTAGATGAATACATGAATAGGAATGGAATAGAAGGATACGGATCCTGTAAGTGAAGACAGCTTTAATATGGAAGGGCAAAATGTGTCAGCGCAGGCTTAGAGGGCTGAAGAGCCTGTTCCTGTGCTGTAATATTCTTTGTTCTTGTGACATACTGAGACAAATGGTTCTCTTGTACATGTTTCAGGAATTCCTCCTGCTGGTTGCCTACTACACTGTCACTATCCCAGTCTATATTAGGATAACTTAAGTTCTCAATTAGCACTACTATATAATTTTTGCATGTAATGTATGCAATTTGCCTACAAATGTTGCCTTTTGTCTACATACTATACACTCAGCAACGTATACCCCTCTATTGTTGATTAGTTCAAACAAAAGTCTCTGCCTTTGGTGTCACAACTACATCTTCCCTTTATAATAGTTTCTTTGATCAATATGGCTTCCCAATGACTCTCTTAAGGCAGGGAATCTGCAAACTATCATCCTACTAAATGCAGTACAGAATTGAGGGACTGAATGGTCTGCTCCTGATTCCGTGACATTTACAGTCATGCTACCATAGAGGTGAAACTACAAAACACAATTACTTTAAAATTTTGCTAAGTTAAATTTCCTTCTATTCTTTAAAAAAAAGTCTTACAGCAACTGGTGTTAATTTAGTGTAGGTTGTCACTGGCATTAATACACACTAAAACCAAGATCAATGTAGAAAGATTTATAGCAAAAATCAATCACATTTTTGCAAAACTAATTTCAACCAGTCCTCTTAAAATTGGAGAGTACATTTGAAACCATTGTGTCCTGCAAGTTTGTAGATAAAGAATAATTGAAAAAGAATACTGAGTACCTTCAAGATAATTTATACTGTAGTGTAACACAACTATCTATCCACATAGATGATTACTGCATAAAATCAAATGTCGCGATCCAAGTGTCAAGGCAGATAAGCCCTGATTTAATTAGAAACAGATATGCTGCTATATAATTAGGAATAAATGTTAATTTGCATTACAAGAGCATCCAATTTTCATAGAATCTTGAGAAAATTCTTCACATCAATGACTAAACTAATTTTAATTCATAAAAACATCAAATTCAAACACTGAATTGCAGAAAACTTGGTACAAAATGCATTCTTTACAATTTTTATGTTGGTTACAACTGGCCTCACAGCAAAAACTGAATTCTTGACGAACTAAATGTTTTCCTTCAAGCATTTGATGAGTGCATGGACTTCCACCATTAAGTTCTTTGGGCAAATAATTTCCTATTTTGAAATTCCTTTTGAATTGAATGTTTTATTGCAATTCAGATGTGGAGGCAGGTGTCAATGCATAGCACTAGTCGGGGTTGGTGGGAATCCTCCGGTACGGTCCAGACAACATGTGTTGCACCATCATGGCACACTGTGTTCTACACAGACGGAGCAAGCAATGAGGCAATGCTTTAGATGCAGAGGAGCTGGGGGAACGGGAACAGTCATCTGAGGAGGATGAGAACATTAGACTACAGAAAGCTACCCTTGTGGATGTCAGAGCTCTGCAGCATGAGGTGTTACAAGGCAGACAGGATCTGATTGATAACTGGCTCCAGTAGGTGCTAACTAGGTGCAAAAGACCATCATGAATTGTCAAGGTCAAGAATTCAAATCACATTGTGGGCGAAAACTGCAGCCTTCATTAATTTCTTTGTGTTCCCTTTTTAATGGCTGTCAATAAAAGCACATGTTTGAACTCAAATATGTCCAAATGCTTGCCTGTGTGTTATGTTCCCAAATGGATGATGACAAGTTGCAGTTGACCAGTGGTATTGGTAAAAGAGTAGCAGGGATTCAGAGAGGATCTTCATATGGATATAACTAAGGAGGCAAAGAGTGTGGCTTGCTGAATAAATGGTGACTAAGCAGGAGAATAAGGTTGCATGAGAGAGGGAGAGCCAGCCAGGTCAGCTAAGTGTTGTTGGCAATATGGCTTTCACGCTGCTGTACCATTATGCTGCCAATGAGGGGCAATGCCAGTGTACCACTAGTTGTCCAGTGCACCGCAATCTCTCAAAGAAGGGGTGGATTAGGGGATGCCAGCCTCTCAGTGGATATCTGTGAAGCGTCCAGTTGTTCTGCGAATGGTGTGTGGTAAGATAAGGACAGGATCAACTGTGTGGGATGCCATAAAGGAAGGATGGGTTGTTAATGAGATACATTTGGTATGATAGGGCAAAAAATTTGCAATGCCCCACCTTTAACAAATATGTAAGCTGTTTAACGTGGTTTCGTAGGCACATCATAAGGTGGATAAGCTGAGCTGTGTTTACCTATGGATGGGAGTTCTTCAGAGCACAAAATGCTGTTGATTCCCAATAAATGTGCTAATGGTATCAAATGAGGATGAACTACAATTAATCTATCTAATATTGTATGGCTTTCATATTCACTAAGTAAACTCAGCAATACGCTCCTGTGGATTCAATTTTGCATTTATTCTCCGTAATAATATTCAGTTTTTGTTTGAATTGGTCATATCTTGGTGGGTGGAACCTGGCATATACAGCACATGACAAACTGGAACATGTGCAAATGGTTGGTAGCAGGAATTAACAAAGATGATTGATGAGGCTAGAGTAGCAGAGTTGTTTACATGGATTTTATCAAGAAGCTTAAGTCACATCGGGCCCATGGTGAGTTGTAAATTGGATACGAAATGAGGATGCAGGTGGAAAACAAAAATCACAGAAAGCAAGGG